TGTACAAGTCATATGTAATGCATTGACCAAAAACACAATAAAGGCGGTAGCTACTGATAACATCGGCTTTAATAAAATAAAATAAAAAAAAAAAAAAAAAAAATTGTTTATAATAGGATGTGGCAATCTAGTAAAATAGTTAGATTGTTAACCTTCAAGTAGTAGGTTCAGAGTTCAAATCACAGTGTCAACAAAAAATTTAAAAATTCTTTCTGTATTATGATTAACTGTCTTTTGCAATTGATTGAGATAAGATATTTGTTACCTATGTTATATCAGCATGACTGACTGGTTATATGGCATTTGTATAACAGTCATATAATATTGTTCTTTGGGACAAGGTCTGTAGTTACATAAAGAAATACAAACTGGTAATAGGCAATACAAACTTACAATAAGTTCTTGTGATTATATAAATCATAGAAACCAAATAAAGAAAGACAGTAACTTACTTGAAAAACTTAAATAAAAAGATAACTCAAACTTTTAATAGTGCTACTGTAAAGACTAAACCTATAAAATAAAACTAGAACTTATAAAACCAAGCAAATGTACTGATCTTTAGGAAGGAACTAGATAAACCAATCAGATCACCAGAATTTCTGGATTTCAGAGAAAAAGATTATATATTAGCAAACATATAAACCAGAAGTGTATGATAATGATCTGCCTTTTTAAACTATCTGGATTAGTAGCTTGATAGAACTTGAATTGAATACCAAAATAATAAAGATATATTGTGAAGTCTGTACTAGAATTGGTGTGAACTCTATAAAGGCATAGTAGTTTAATGATATACTTTAATTGCTAATGTTGGTCTTAGTCATAGCAATACTGAGTCAGCTATAAGAATAGGATATAGAAGATTCAGGAAGGTTTAGTACAAGGTTAAAGGTTTCCTATATAAGTGAACTGCTTTAAAGACTTAGTAGTTATAGTATATTTTTATCAACATCAACTAGGATTATTGGTAGGTAAAAGTAGATAAGTAAATACAAAAACTAGAGTGGTTAAATAAAAAACCTACAACCAGGTTCCAAGTATAACAACTAGTATAGAACTTTTGGACAGACTACTTAAATTAGACAATGACTAAAGTTGTATAAGTGGTTAGTTGTATACTCTTTTCATGATTGCTCTCTGTAATTGTAAAACATCCATTAGCCAAATATACTACCAATAAAATCCTAGGTCACAAGTACTTACCTTAATATTTAAAATAAAAAAATTTGTTTATAACATATAGTTTTAAATAATTAATAGATTTTAGTTTAAATTTTGATTTAACTTATTTTAATGAACTTGTTATAATCTGATTTTTTTATTAATAAAACTTTTAAATAATAATCATGTGCTAGAACTTTGTTAATTAAATCTAGATATTAAAATTGTTAAAATTTGTATTACTATATGTTTAGTTTATTTTATTTTGTTATACTATTTTTTGTATTTTCTTTTCTTAAAAAATAAGTTCTTCAAACTTTATTAATCAATTTATCAAAAATTAACAACTTTGTTTTAGTTAGTTTATCTATTTCTAAATAATTTTCTAATTTTTTTATTGTTTTGTTTTTATTATTTATTCTATTAAAATTATTCATTATTTTTAATCAACAAAACCTTTATCTTTCTTTTTTTCTACTAATATTCTTATCAAAATCTTTCTTATTAATAAACTTGTTTTTTTATCTTTTGTTCTTTATTAAGATGTATATACTTTTCAAACTATGAGCTTTGTCTTGCTTGATCTTGAAATATTTAAAATAAAATTAGTTATCCACTAAGCAAGTTACTACTTGTTTGACCTCAGTAGACAATTTTCTTTTTGTTATTTCCTTTTTCTTTTGCAGTTGTGAACTAGAAATGAAAATGTAACATTAAGTTACTAAGTAATTTACGGCATTGTTATCCATCAATTACTTATAGTTACGACAAGTTACACCTGCATCTCCACAACGAACTTAAAAATATGTGCATGTTTTTCGAAAAGAGGCGAAAAGTTAATGTTGATTTTTTTAATTTGGTTCGCAGGATTTAGCCGAATTTACAGCATTGGGTAGAAAATTGTCCTAGCCCAGTGCCAAATCGTTAAGATCAGGTTTTTCCTGTGAATCTCAGAATACCAGTTAAAAAAACCAATTTTTTTAGTAGCTCAACAATTTGTCAATAAAAATTGCCTTATCGTTATGCGCACTAACATGAAGTTACAAAATTTTGGTATACCTACAGCTTCTGCCACAACCTACTAATGTCTAATAGCGATATGTTTTTTTTAGTGAAATTTTTTACTAGGCTTATCATTCTTAACCCTGAGATCGGTTATATCTTAATTAATTTATTGATTGGTTGGTTTTAAATTGATTAGTCGCCAATTTAGAGTTAGCTGACTTTTCGATTAATCGATTTTCGATTCGCACGTATTACTACTGGACATGGCTTTAGACAACCCTATTATTAAAAATTCGCCGTGAGACGGCGCATCAGAAACCGGTTACACGAACAATCACATATATATGACCTCGCAGGTTCTTATGTTAAATGTAAATATACGATATACTGTGACCAAATTAACTCTTTCATACGACTGACGCGCTATTTTGTTCTTTTTCGACGCGACGTAGCCCCTTCTCATCTACTAATACTGTCATAAATTAAGAAATGAGTAGACGTCCCAGAGGCGGCAGACCAAATGAAAACTTCGTTAACCTTCAAAGGGATATAAGACTACCGGGGACACCACGTCCAATAAAGCCCGTAGAGGACAACATTGATCGAACTCCTGAATATAAAGCTTTTATGAAAAGTCTTGAAGAATTTCATAGAGCCCATGGGTAAATTGAAATTTTTGTTTCAAATTATTGTTTTTTTTTATGATACAGTAATATCAACATGAAGAGGAAGTTTTTTTTTTTTTTAATAAAAAAAAGTCGTGTTATTAGTTGATAAAATCTTAAGACATATTTTTCTTATTAGCACTCCGTTGCAGAAAGAACCAGTTCTCGGTTCCAAAAAATTGGATTTATATAAAATATATAATATGGTGATCTCTCATGGCGGCTGCGAAAAAATTTGTCTAGAAAAAAGCTGGAAAAAAATTTGTGAGCCGTTCAATTTTCCATCAACTTGCACCAATAGTGCTTATGTGATGAAAAACGTATATATAAGGTTCCTAGAGGCATATGAGATGGAGAAACATTGGGGCAAAACTGTACCGTATGGTGGTCTTCCACCCAGACCACCGATATCTCCTCAAATCTCACAATCTCATGATCATCAATATACGACGTCACACCAAGAATTATCAACACCTCCAATTCAAAGGAGGATTCTAACGCAAGAAAATTTGTCAGGTAAACAAACTGTAATTCAATATACATGTTATATAGATTTATGTAATTAATCTAACATTATCTTTAATTTGAAAATAAATCAGAGGTAGTGACTCCAGTTCAAGCATTTAATAGTTACGATTCTCCAAATATTCAATCAACAGATCAACCAGTACAAGTATCAGTACAGCCTGAAAGACAAGAGCAAGAAGACATAGAGGAGGAGGAAGAAGAAGAAGAAGAAGAACATGGTAGCTGCTTGTGCCGTAATTATTTGTTTATTTTACAATTACTTATTTTGTTTTATGATTAGGTTTCCTTCTCGGTGGAGGGCATCACAATCGTATACTTCTTGCTTTAAAATCTCACCTTCCAAATGAGGTGGATTGGGCATTCGAAATCTTGGTGCAACTCTCGGCGGACGAAATTATCAATTTTCATGTTGATAAAATACCTGGTTTGGTTGATACTATCCTCTTATTCGTGTCTCCATTTTACAAAGATTTACGAAAGCTTACAGGACATGATTCTGTTTGCATGTCTGTTATGGATTATTGTAAAGTAGAAGATAATATCGAGGCAACGATTAACGAATACTTGAGTTCACCAACAAAAGTCGAACAATTAAAACGGATAATGCAAATATTTTTAATGTTTCGAAATCTTTCTTTTACTGAACATAACGTAAAATTTATGGCTGGATACAAGCCGTTACGCAGATTTCTAATAGAAAGCCTCGTTTTACCTGAAGTTGCGCGACTATCAGAGCTAAAACATCATTGTCTAGAAACGGTAGCAAATATGTGTAGGGTTATAACTTTGAGGAGTAGTAAAGACGAACTTCTTTCAACCTTGCCTAAGTTACTCTATTCCAAAGACAGTGCATTTGTTTTGCTTAGTATTCGTGCAATGGCTAGTTTAGCAGCAAACGAACATAATGCAGATTTTTTGCGAGAAATAGATCCTACCATAGTACAACGATTAGTGCAACTATTGCTGATTGAAGATGAAGAAGAATTGATACTTGCGGTATTAGATTGGTTTTATCAATATTCTACGTACGAAGACTCTGCTTATACTATAGCTCAAACTGCACCGGGAAATTTCGTGCGTCTTTTAATTAATTTTTTGCGCTATGGAGCAAATGAAGAAGATTATCTATACAATCAAAGAACACCAATGGAATTGCATCCTTTTCAAATCCATGGTGAATTTGAGGATTATCCTGAACCTTATCGCACTTTAGAATGGTGAACATCAAATCAATATTTATGAAAAAAATTGACAAGTATAATTTATTTTTTTTTTTCTTAAAAAAATAATCATAATAGGCTAAAAAGATTCTACGAGGAATCACAATTTGATGGTGTGCTACAAACAGAAATTTGGTATGCGTATCGTGATCAATTTATGAATTCACCGATGCCAATGATGCCAGCTGCGGAGGTTATTAAGCATGTTAATCAAGCATTCCCGGAATCAAACGCTGTAATGATTACTACGGGAGATGGGTCATCAAAATATCCTTTTCTCTAACTGTTTATTTTGATGTATTTTCAATTTAACATTTAAACAATCCCTGACTCAGTATTACATATATGATTCAAGGAATAAGACGTAAGCCACTGCAAGAAGAGCCAACAGTAAATCGTAAAGTATTTCAATTCTATTTATAAATCTTATCAACCTTGAAATAAGTTTTAAATCTCGTCGACTTTTAGATCCTTCCTATAGATGTCGTTGGACTGGTTGCATGTCCCTTCCTTTTGCCGTAGAGAATGATTTGTATAATCACGTTTTTAATGACCATATTAATTCAGAGCAAGAGAGATTCGAATGTCAATGGATGGGGTGTCGTCGATTTCCTTGCGGAGTAGAGAGCAGAACGTCTGTCATTGCTCATGTCAAAACGCACTTTCCAGTTTTTCCTGACATAGATGGAGATAATAGAAAACATAGAGGAAAATCATCCAAGTTCAAAGTATTGAATAAGTATGGCAAAAATAACGGTATAATTAGCCATAAGACTCATGTCTCTGTAGATATGAATGGTGATGCTATCGGGATTCCTTTGACTGCATCCTTAATACTTAGAAATCTGTCTATTTCGAGGAAGAATCTACAATATTTTGAAGCGTATGAGCAAGAGTTGACTGAGTTATTGGCCAATTGTGTTGGATTATCTAAACATTTGGCTGAAACATTAAGTAATTTGAAGTCCATGTAATAGTATTAACAATCTTTAGACATTTTATATTTATCAGGTGGGTTGGTAAACTAAGATCTCGTTGAGTGCATATTAATACTTTAATGGTTTTTTTTTTTTTGAGTATATGCTTAATAGATATTGGTTTGATACTCTATGTTATAAACTGATTATTAGTGATTTACCGTTAATGTGTTTCTAAATGTGTTCAATAATTACTATTTATGTTTAATTAATCTTTTACATAGGATCAAAATAAATATAAAAAGGTAACTGTCTAATCTAAATTTATATTTTGTATAGGCAATGTAAATATTGTAACTAAAAAAATTATTTACATAGGTATTGAAAGAAAAAAATAAAAAAAAATTATACCCAATTATATCATGTGATGAGCAACTTGTCACGATCAAATCATGCCTAGTTGACCAGTGTTGCGATTTGACATATCAGATGCCGATTTTCAGGTAATACACGTCATCTGTCGATCGGTCGTCTGATATGCGTCAGTTGTAATTTGAGACGCGTTAGTTGCAAACTGACGTACTGTTAAAATGACGTGTCTAAGTATTACCTAGAAACACGCGCTTAATTATTGTCGGAGATTTGTGAAATCTAAAAACCCCATTGGCTAATCATCCTAACCAATCAGATGCGCTGATTTCACGATCATCCAAATTTCAGCATCATCCCCGACAATTATTATCAAAATTTTTATGAAATTTAATTTGCATTTTATTAAAGGGTATTATAATTTATCGCCATAGCGATGTATCACCACCTCTAACCATTAGGTGTAATGTGAAATCGAAGCAAAACATGGTCTTTTCTAAAAAATCGATTGTAACTCAAGAATTTGTTTATAAAACCACTTTTTACATTTAATTAAAAATTTTTTGCAAAAAATTTTAGATTAGGTTAAATTTAATTTCTTGATTTTCATGACATGAAATTTTTAAACAGACCCGGCCGGCTTTTTTTTAAAATTTCATATATGAAAATTTTATAAATGTTTTTTAAAAAATAAATGTTCTCTTAACGACTTCGAATTAGCTAATAGTAGTTAGAGTTAGGGTTTGGGTTACACGAAGTTTTGGTTATTTTTATTGGTTCTAAATAAGTTATTTAAATAAGTGTGTAACAGGTTGTTATAATTAGATTTGTTTTTTTTTAAAAACCACCTAATTATTAAAACATTTTTATAGTTGCTTTTATAAATTATAGAAAATTTGGCAAAAATTGATTGATTGAATATTTGCTGATTCAATATGTTTATTGAATCTGCAAATATTCAATTGGTCAATTTTGTCAGATTTTCGAAATTTACAAAACAGTTTTAAAAAATTTTTTTAGTTATTAAATTTTGATTTGGTTGGGTTATGAAAATTAATTAATTAATTGAGTGATAAAAAGAGAAAACTTGTAAATTATTTCACTCAATGAGTGAAATGATTTACAGGTTTTTCTTTTTTGTTACTCAATTTTGTATGGTTTTAGAAATATTTTTTTAAATTTATATTTAACCAGTACTCTGCAAAATCAAGTCAAAGTTTGAATTTGAATTAAATATTTGAAAATATTTGATCAAATTTTTTAAGAATTTGATTAAATATTTTCAAATATTTGATTTAAATTTAAACTTTAACTTGATTTTGCAGAGTATTATATTTAACTTTAGTTTAATGTTGATTTTAATTTTAAACTAATAAATTATTATTATTATTATTATTATTTTTTGGTATTAAAGTGATCTCTTTGGTCTTTTGACTTTTATTAATCACTTATCAGTATTGTGGTTCAATGAACCACTACAGGAGAGAGTACAATTGGTTACACATATAACTTTTCTATGTTACCTATTTAAGGAGTCTGTTTGAAGGTTTCTCATCAATTGCTATATCTAATATCTCTGCTTGGATGTTCTACTTTAAACCTTTTGAATCTATAATCTATATTATTTTACTAGATTATACCTAAATGTTCAGATCATCATCTCAACCTTAGGACTAATTTATCCTCAAGGTAAACCTCTTAGAGCTTTCTGTATCTATTTTTACAGTTAACCTAGATATCATTATAGTAGAACCAACATTTGCAGTCAGAACTAATCATTAAACTGCTATGTCTTTGTAGAGTTCACTTAGATCCCAGCATCTACTTTATAGTATAACTCTGATACTTTAGTATATCCCTATCTTTTTATCTACCTTTTTATCAAACTTCCAATCCAGATAGCCCATATAGGATTACAATCAGTTTATCAATATATCAGGTCAGCCTAATATCTTTTTCTTTCTGGTTCATTTTGGCAGCCTGGTTGGTGATACTCTCAAGACTCTTAACTTAGAGGTTCTTGTCTGTCTGGCTACTATAACCAGGTACTATGACCTTGGTATCCATTTCTCTGGACTAGCCTTTACAGTAAGGCTATTAAAGACCTAATTACCTCTTTATTTGGACTTCTTGTTATCCAATTTCAATGGATTTACATAGTCACAAGAACTTATCTAGTATTTGTATTGTCTGATTTGTCATTTTGCATTCTTCTATATAATGCTATACTTATACAGATGCTCTATGACCTGCCAGTCATGCTGATGTGACCACTATTACAGGTATTCTAACCCAATCATTAGTAACAATTGCTGTAATATGAATATTACATAGGTAATTATTCAAATTTTCACTGTCGATAGAATTTGAACACCCAATCTACCACTTGGGGGGTTGACAACCTGACCACTTTACTAGATTGCCACACCTCTAAATTATTATTATAATTTTATAAATAGCAATTTTTATATAAAAAATAATAAAATCTTTTATTAAAAAAATAAATTAAAGTTCTAATTTATTATTTGTTTATTTATTTATTAAATATTTAGATTTGAATATATTTAGATAATGAGATATTTCATTTTTAATCACATATTAAAAATCTAATATTATCTTGAATCATAATTAATACTATTTACTTCTATTTATTGAATACAAACCATGTACTGAATATCATTTTAATTTAAATAAAATTAATTAAATATGCATTATTAACATATTAGCAATTATTTTTACAATCTTTCTTGTTAGAAAAACTTCTAATAACTTCAAACTTTAATACATTCAACAGTTACTAAACATCTCTTATATATTTTTCCTATTTTTTCTAAAATTATTATACATAATTCTATTATTTTAAAAATCTTTTAACCAAATAATTATAAACTTCAAGAAATATATTTATTTAATTTTACAAACAATAATTTTACATTTTATATCAATAGTTCTGTTATTAATATTGAATTAGAACAATGTTTTATGAGTATTAAATAGGTTCAAATTAATGAAAATAATTAAGTTATTTATAAATTCTCAATTCAAATTTATCTATAGTTATTATTTTACATCACTAAATTATTTTATTCTATCTGTAATATCTATTATTTTTTATAATTTATTTATTAATATTTATATAAACTTATAATTAGTTATTTTAAAATTTTATATACATACTAACTAATCAATTACAAAATTTAAATAAGCTATTCAAATTTAGTATATAATTTCTATAATATACTTTTTTTAATATTATAAAATTCTTTAATTTTCAAATTACTTTTTACAAAGTTCAAACTTACACAAATAATTTTTTTAACAATTTTACAGCTTTTTAGCTAAATAATATATATTATTTTAATCTTTAATCTTCAATTATACTAATATTTATAACCTATATTATATTTTATAATAGAAACAAAACTTTATTAAACTACTAATTAGATACTTTATTAAAAATGTATACAAAGTATATATATAATCTTTACAAAAAAAAACAATGAATAAACTTATCTAAAATTATCAAATAAACTAGATCTTTATCTTAATTATAACCAAAAAAACCTATATCTACTTATACAAGTTTTAAATTTAATTAACTTAAAGTTTTTAAAACTAAATATCTACTAAATAAGCTTTTTATTTAATTCTTTCTTCATAATAAATATTTTTTTATTTTTACTAATACAAATTGCTTTAAATACAATTTTATTAATTTATTTATATATTAATGTATATGCTTTAATATATATAATACTCTTTATAACATTATTTATATATTTATTAATTAAATATTTCTTAAAGCAAAACTTGATTTATCATCTTAATTTTAATAATTAGTTTCAAAATATATTATCATTCATGTTTTGATCATATATTATTTCAATTTAATTTACATTTTATAAATATTGTATATGAAAACAGAATTATTGTAAATTTAGAATAAACTTAAATTAATTCCAAATACATATAGGTTGTAACAAAATTCTAAAACATGTCCAAGTATATAAAGAATTCTAATTTAACTTAAACTAAAATTAAGTAAATTCTAAATCAATTTAATAAATAAGTTATTTTAGAATTTAAAGTTGTTTTAATATAAAGATTAACTAAGGCAATACTAAATATATTTTATTGTATTAAGATTGTATAAAGAAAGCAGCAAAAAAAGTATTGCAAATTTATTGCTTTAAAGCTTACAAGTTTTTACATTTATAGTTACTAAAATAACAACTACTGCTGCAAGGCATATTTATTCTTTTATATTTACAATAATTTTTTTTATAGAAATTTTTGCAATTGCATTTTATACTACCTATTTGTAATGATAATTACATAATATATGCTTTTAATTCTGAAAATCTATTAGATCCAAAGGAAGCAATTTAGTAGCATTATATGCAGTTCTAATAATATCAGATTTGTTTTCAACTTTGTATATATTATTTTTTAAAACTTCAAGAATTTTATATAAAAGTGTTTTTTAATCATTATGTTCTATCAATATCAAAAATCTTGATATGAATGAAATCTTCAACATTATATTTGTTTAAAAATTTTTTATTATATTTGTTAAGTTGTGATTTTATATTGGTTTGATATCTTTTAAGAGATTTTTTTGCAATACTTTAATAGATTTCATGTGCTGATGTTTGTTAAATGTTGTTTTTATACTAAAGAAATAGAAA